AAAGGGCGACTTTTTTCAGGTCACTGCCAGACAACCATCTGAACAACCAAGTTTAGTAGATTAAGGAACTGAATGAAGAAAGCTAAGGGGCATAAAGCAGTGTCTAAACTAAACGAAGAAAAACATCCTGAACACAGTACAAGCGACATGTGGGAATTCGTCAAGATGAACCATTCCAAACGAAAGACAGCATCAGTCACCTTTTCAAGTCCGGAAAAGGGCCAAAAATACCTGTAACCTATTGAAATGGTTCACAAATACCCTCCGTTAACCTTTAGGTCTAAAAGTACCCGTAACATTTTTTTAGGGGGCTCAAACATACCTCTGAAACTTATGGATTTGGGTCTTAAAAAAACTTAAAAGGGCAAAAAATACCCCTAACGTGTTGAAAATGGCTAACAAATACCATTTGTTAACCTTTTAGTCTAAAAATACCCTTAATTTTTTCTTTTGGGCTCAAACATAGCCTTGAAACTAACGGACCAGCCGGGGTCAAATTTGGGTCTATAAAATAGTCATGTATCATTCTAAGCTTGCCACATTTTCAATATAGGATTAAATTAAATCCCACTCATTTATTAAAACCCAACCCGTTTTCATTTTACAAATTAATCACCCAATACAATCTTTTCTCCCCAAAGCTTTCGTCATTTCCTAGAAGCTTAGATGTGATAGGCGATTTAGGGCTAATCTTTTGTACTTCAATCGGGAGATTGGAAGTTGAAGGATTCTTCTTGAAGAATCAATTTCAAAAGTCTTGTTATTAAGGTAATTCTTTTTACTACTATATATAGAACTTTTTCTATTTTGATTTGATGCACTTGAGTGGAGGGTGTTTCGGAAACAACCTCTCCACCTCCACAAGGTAGGGATAACGTTTCCGTACACTCCACCATCCGATCCCTCCCCAGACTCACAAGTAGGATTCCCCATAGCATCTGTTATTTCCTCTAAGCTTAGACGTGATAAGTGATTTACGGCTAAACTTTTGTACTTCAAACGGAAGATTGAGGGTCATAACTTCATTGGATGTTTAAGGATTCTTCTTCATAAATCATTTTCAAAGTTATGAAGAAGAATAGCAATCTCTTGGTGATCTCTACCAAACTGCCTAGCTTGCATACTTTACAAAATCAAGGGCATAGCTATTCTCGAAGCAAGTAATATCAAACTTCTTCCTAGGCAAAAAGTATGAATCTTTAAAGTACCTTCATTGTATAAATGTGTCACAAACATCACCATATCAGGTGGAAGCTCTTTGTAGTTTGTACACAGTATGATCCTCAGTAGTCAACACCATCAACTTTCTTAAATCTACACTCTCATTATCCTCCTCATCCACAAACAATTTGTTTAACTTTTTACTCTTTCCTTCATTTTCCAACACCCCATTATCATTTCTAGCCTCCATCCTCTATTAGCTTTTCCAATTTTCTTCCTCATCAGGAACATTATTCAGTTTACAAACTGTTAGCTTCTATGTTTGCACAAGGCAAAGACAAATACTTCCCATATTTACCCAATAATTAGCATACAAATTCTATCAAAAATGTCATTGTTAAAGATTTCGGTAGACTAACAAAACACAAATTAGACTAATAAACTTCGATGAATAAACTTAACACACAGAAAACTAATAGTAATAGTAGCAATCATTATGAAAATGGGTGAATGTAAGTAAATTGATTCTTACTTAACAATCTCTTGGTGATCTCTACCAAACTGCTTAGCTGCATACGTTATAAAATTACGGGCATAGCTATTCTCGAAGCAAGTAATGTCAAACTTCTTCCTAGACAGAAAGTTTGAATATTTAAAGTACCCTTCATTGTATAAATGAGTCACAAACAACGCCATATCAGGTGAAAGCTCTTTGTACACAGTATGATCCTCCATACTCAACGGAGTCGACTTTATTGATTTTACACTCTTAACCTCCTCATTCATAAACAATTCATGTAATTTCTTACTCTTCCCCTTATTTTCCAATACCCCATCACCATTTCTAGCTTCCTTTTCATTTTTCCTCATCTCTAGCAAAACCCTCACTTCTTCCTCCAATTTTTCCAATTTACCCTTCAATTCTTTGTTTTCAGATTTTTCTAACAGACCAACAGCTTCTTGGAAGAAAACACCCAATGGTTTCTTTGCTTCACTATCTGAACTAGGTGATTCTTTCTCAATCTGAGCTGAAAACGAAAAGGGTCTCCCCAAAAATGATGAAAATTGATATGGGGTTGAAGAATTCAAGCATGTTGATGCTATTGTTAGAAAACGCCAAGAATTGAACTTTCTCAGGTATATCATTGGTGAGCTTTTTGGTAATTTGGTCACTGAACTGAACGATTGATGAGCATATACAGGGAAGATGAAGTTCCGCCATTAGAAGGCTTTTAGGGATTTTGCAAGCAATACATCTATTTGGGCCCAAATAAAACAACATGGAGTTCCTTATGGGTCGGGTTGGGTTAGGGGTTAGTTTTGTTTTTAGATTTTTCACTTCGATTGGTTAAAATATTTATTTAATAAAAATAGAGAAAATAAGTTCTATAAGTAATAATCTATGTTGATTCAGTCTTGTTCATATTTTACATATCTCATCTTTACTCCACCCTAATATGTATCTTCGGTGTTCCACCTTTTTATGTTTCATAGTATTTCTTTTGATTATATGAAATTATTGTTAGAATTTTGCTCATATACCGAATACAAAAAGAAAAATAAGCATGAGATTTCTTTATTTTTCTAGAAATTAAATTTTAAGAAACAATCTTCATGAAAATTATTTTTTTATACCATAACCTAAAGTTTTTATGTTTTTGTACCGATTGCTTAACAGATTAGTGTTTGTTTTTTATTTCTTGTATTTCAAGTACTTAACTTTAACTTTTGTTACTTATTTAATGGGGATTTCTGGACAAAAGTATCTTTACCTATTTGAAGCTAATTCGATCGGAGGAGGACCAATGGAAAATGGACTAGAAAAATTTGTTGGAGAAGTAGTATATTGGTACCAAAATTAAAACTCTTTACCGAGGACAAAATTTGAGAAGATTCAAGTCGAAGTAAGGTAGTATTAGCTTCATCTGCTTCTTCAACCTACCTATCTATGTAAAGTTCTTTGATTATAAATTATCGCACTCATACTTATGGTGTCATTTCTTCTTATTGACAGGTCAGACTGGAGGATAATTACATAGTATTTAAAATTTATGGAGAAGATATGAGAAGAAGATTACTTCTCGTTAGAATTTCAGTATCATATTCTTATAACTTTAACTTAACTTGATTTTTTATTATAGAGTGGTGATAATATATGCATTTTGTACCTAATATTTGATCGACCTCATTGAGACGTAATAAAAGGAAGTGAACACATGTGGATATTAAAGATGATAAAGCATAAGCCCAAGGTAAGGTAAGAAGAAGATTGAAGAATAAGTGTTTTAGAAGACACGTTAATATAATTAATGTATTAAATATTGGATGAAATGTTTAAATCGTGAGATAATGACATTAGTTGGTGACTAATGCTTTGTAATGCAATTTAATATTATGTTAGTTAACAAATGCTTATTTGACCCTTTTAAACAAACATATCATTGATATTTTATTCTCAAATGCAAATTTTGTTAATTATATATTTTATATTTGTTTTGAGGCATAAATGATTCCAATTCATATTGTATCATATGTGTTGGAATGTTACCCTTGTCTAAATTTTCAAAGTTTTGCCTTATCAGGCAAAATTATATACAACAAGGCAACATATGTATTGTGTTTATAACGAAAAGTTCTATCTCAAGATAACAATAGTTAAATGTTATATATATATAAAAAAAATAGAATAGTTATTGAGCTAATTTTTGTATTATGTTGCAGGCTTTGTATACAACAGGTAAAGTTATGTATAATATAGATAATAAAAAGTTTTGCTTCGAGACAAAAATAATCGAAATTTATAACATAAAATGTAGAATAATTATCAAATTAAATTTTGTCTTATGAGGCAAATCTTGTATACAACTTGTTAAGATATACATACTATATATAATAGTAAGAAGTTTTGACTCTTTGAAAATGTAAATGAAAATAAAATTAGTCTTACTAATGAAATAGTTTTACATCTTTACAATTAACTATTATTGATACTTGCAAAAAAAAAAAAAAAATTTCATCTGTGTTTTTAATCGCTTATTCTTTTTTTAAAAAAATCATTTGATTTCCTTAATTATCCACATGGAATGCCATTTGATGCCATTTGTAAATAAAAAGAGAGAATGTACACCATACACCATCATATATTAGTCAAGATGTGTTTTAATAAATAATTAGTGATATGAAATACAAATACTCGACAGTTTAGATGTGAAACTCGCAAAAAAATAAATCAAGTAAATATTTTACTTCCTACATGTACACAAAGTTAGACTTCTGAAACTTGTCCGCAATGTTAGAAGACGAACTCCTCAAAGCTACTTTAAGCCATTTTAGTGCAAACCAAAAGGACTGAAGCTGTTAGATGTTGCTCAGTCCTGAATAATCTTGTTATAACTTAACAATCAAAAAGCTCTATGTCGAACTTCAACATAAATAAGTTATAGATATTTCTCTGACCTTATCAAAAGGTTGGAACTGAGTATAATATTCTAGTGATGACTCATCTAATCGTCCACGTCTTGGACTTATTCCTATTGAACCCTTAAACTACTCAAAAAGTATACTTATTAGACACTTTTCTTATGCGGGGAAGCCACCTAGCCATCAAACCACCACCACCACAACAACATATCCAGTATAATCTCACAAGGTGGGTTCAGAGAAAGTAGAATGTATGCAGACCTTACCCCTACCTTGTGAGGTTAGGGAGGTTGTTTTCGATAAACCCTCGCTCAAGAATAGAATAAACAAAAAAGCAATAACAACAGCAAAATAAAAGCCATCTAGCCATCAACTTCCATTTATATATGAAAAATTGAGATTCAAGATTCAATACACTAGCTTCAAAAATCATTTCTGGAGCAAGATTGTGTACAATAGTTCATTCCAAGCATCTGGAACACCAGCTACACACCAGTGGCTGCAGTCGTTCAACCCGCCACTAGCAACTCTCGAGGGGTGTCCGTCTTTTCGTAGTTGTGTAAGCAGTGTAATATCAAGTAAATTGACAGGCTTTGTCATGTTACTTAGGACACTTTTCACCACTGCCTCTCCTCTATATCTTTCACCAGGATAAGTTGATCCCTCTATTGGCTTTGTTTGTCCGCTGCAGTCCTTCACCTGTGGTTCATTCCAATCTTTGCCACTGAAAAGATCGAGAAAACAGAACTAAGTTGAAGAAAATGGTCTAAAATTCTACAAGACAACCCATATACTAAATGGAAACTTGCTAGAAAATGTGATTGATCTTCAGTTCGTTGAGACTAAGGTGTTGTTTGGTTCATGGTATAACGTACTAGTATGTTGGGATTAAAAAGGACAGTCCGGTGAATGAAGCATTCTGCGTTCACGGAAGGGCCAAACCCCAAGGGGATGTAGTGTAGGAAGCCTACCATGACACAAGCATTAGAGATTAATGCCACGACTTGAACCCGTGATCTATAGGTCAGATGGAGACAAGTTTACTGTTGCTCAAAGGCTTTAAGATCACTATTGTCTTTCAATAGTTTAAATTCTCGTATTGCTGATACATGTACACCTATTATTTCACATTCTATCCGCAGAGAATAATACATCGTATAACTTATTTCGGACAATTATTTTGTACTGCCAACCAACCACTGCATTAGTCATGCACTCGGAGATTGTTCTTTTCGTATACAACCAACTAAACAGTGCATTAGTTATGTGTCCGGGAAACAGAACACTGTATTTACTCAATCCTGGATCAATCATCTTAATACGATCAACCAAACAAGCCCTAAATGTTTATGAGAGAAATGAGAAGCTGTGATAGAACTTACCGAGCATGAACAGCAGAAATTCCTTGGAAGAACACTTTAGTCACAGCAGGATTAATGTTGGAATCGATCCATTTAGCCCAAGTAGTTAAAGCAATCTTGTATGCTGCCATATGGTCCATCTCCTTGTAGAGTTTGTCACCAACTTGAAAATAGTCCCACCTGTGGACAAAAAGAACAGGACAATGTAAAACAACGAAGTTCGGTTTCTAGTAAGTTAGTGAAGAAGAAGTGTACGTTTGTTGGCGTCCAGTATGTATCCACCAATGGTAGCTATTAAAGATCAAGACATCAACTCCTTTCCACAGCTCAGTCTGGCTGAGAGTGTCAAGCTTGAGAACTCGTCCTACTTTCTCAACCACTAAGTCAACGAGAAATCCGTCTTTCAAGAATGTGACTGTGAACTTAAACTCCTTCAGAAGAAAAAAAGAGAGCATGAGAAAGAAGGGAAGAATACATATCAGAAGTTTTGGAACAAGAAGAGATTTTAGTGTTTATCAAATCCCACAACAATCTATGTTGCTTGAATCTTCCAAAGAAATGTTGTGTACTCGTGTATGGTCCTCCGAAAATGCAATACTTTCAGAGGATCTGACACATACCTGGCGACATTTTTGGAGGATCCGAGCAAACATAGACAATAATAAAATGTCATGCTAGCAGCAGGGTTATTACTGAATCTATTTCAAGTATTTTAGCAGTTGATGCTTCTTTATGTCGGATAGAAAATTCATCGTTGGCTAAGTATTCGAAGAACGATTGCAGTTTAACATCTTGGCACTAACCACAACAAGTATATATGAAAATTTGCTAAATCGAAGAATCTAGCACATATTGAAAGAATTCCAGCAATTAACCCCTCTGCAAGAAATAAGATCATTTACTAATATGTTATCAATCTTATAACATGCTAGCATTGTTGAAATTGGAGTCAGATCATATCGAATCATACTAAATCAATTAAATTAGGAGTACTACTTGTTTTTGCAAGCTTTAATTCCTCGCGAGACAAAAGGAAGCAAATACTTTTCGCAAGTGACAGGAACTTTTAACCTGTCAAAATCCCGACTTTTACTCTAATCAAAAGACTAACAGCCCCTATTGAACACAGGTCGCCAAACTACGACCAAGAGTTTTGCCTTTTTAAGTGTCAGTCACGGCCTTTTGAAGCGCTAGTCATGTACACACGCCAGGCTTTATAAAGTCAAAAAAAGCTTTGATGACTAAAGGTTTGTACTACAGAATGGAGAGTGATGGGAAGAAGGGGCTTCCCTCGATTGGTCCGAACGTTGGAGCACTTTTACCAACAACAACAACATATCCAGTGTAATCCCACTAGGTGGGGTCTGGAGAGGTTATGATGTACCCAGACCTTACACGTACCTCGTGGAGGTAGAGAGGTTGTTTCCGAAACACCCTCGGCTCAAGTAACTCATACAAATCAACGTTAAAAATAGCATACAGACGCAATGCAAACATAACAAATAATAACAAAATCATTTACAGAGAATTCAAGTCTACCAAATAGAAGATGATAGAGGGACAACGATTAAATTGACCTACCGGGAATGAGAGAACGGAACGTTCCTTTGTGCTGTCAAATGTGTAATTAGAATTTGGAACTGCAGCATGAAGCATACATGCTAGTGATTGCCACTGGTTACTGCTCAAAGAATCTCCCACAAACATGAAGTTTTTGCCTCTGAAGTTTTTCAGAAGATTTTCACCATTGAACCTACATACACCATAAAAATGCATTCAAATTTGTATATAGTGAAATTATAATACTCCCTACGTCCCAACTTATGTGACATCTTTTGAATTTTGAGAGTTAAACAGTTCTTCTTTGACGACGATCTTTTCATATGTCTATAAAATATTTTAAAGTATTGATTAATGTTATTTATACTACTTTTTTTAGTAGTTTCCAAATATATAAATTTTATTTTAAACAAAAAAATTAATAATTTCATATCCGAATTCAGTTGAAATTCAAAAGTTTGACTCAATCAATGTCACATACATTGAGATACTACAACAATAACAACAATATACAGTATAATCTAACAAGCGGAGTTTCGAGAGAGAGTAGTGTGTACGCATCTCAAACACGCCAACAACAACTACACCTCACTCCTAAACAAGTTACAAGTTGTGGTCGACTATATGAATATCTACTTCGTCATTTAAGCTCATTTTATATCATCATCATACTAACAAAAACAACAAACAAAATTTAAAAAAAACACAAATCATTGGAATTTAGGTGGAACAAAGAAAGAAATTTCTTACTTTGGGAGGTCACAATCAGTAGGCTGCCATCTATATTTGAGATAAAATTTATCTTTTCTTCTATTTTTTATGCAATTTAGACCTTGGTTTATAAATGGACACTTCAAAGAATCATAAATTGGATAAGATTCATCAAAAATCCAACTTCCTTCAAAAACATTACAACTGTTCAATTGTTGTTCTTCATAAGATAGTACTATTAATAGATGCAAAAAAACAACAAAAAGGTAAATTTTGGTATTCTTTTTAGTAGACATGGTGAAAAATTTAGAACTCAAATTGAGAGCTCTAAAAATTGAGTAAAAAGAAAAAAGAAAATTGTACTGTTTTATAATAATTTTATGTGTAGATTTTTGGTGTGTGATTAATTAGTTGGTTGTTCTTTTGTTAGTGGTACAAACTAATTAGTGCACTAATTAGTAAGGTAAGCAACTGAATAATGGTCAAACATATATTTGAAGATAAATTTTCAAAATATATGGTCAAATATATATTTAAAGATACATTTTTAAAATATCTGGTCAAATATATATTTAAAGATAAATTTTTAAAATATATGGTCAAACATATATTTGAAGAAAAATTTTAAAATCTGATTCAAAATATATAGTCAAACACTACCATAATGTTCAAATATATATATTTAAAGATAATTTTTTCAAATATGTGGTCAAACATATATTTGAAGAGAAATTTTAAAAATTCGATTCAAAATATATAGTCAAAAACACTACCATAATTTTTATTCATTATATCTCAACTCTCCATAATTGAGGTGTTTGTAGTGTTCATGAGCAATTACTACTAAAATATAATAAGAAAAGAATTTCAGATAACTATAAATCACGACAGATAATTTTCAAATGAAAAAAGTATTTATCTATCTTACTTCTTTTTTAGTCCTTTTTTCAAAAATAAAAATATTTTTTAAAATTTAGTAGTGATTTTTAAATATCAACATTCCATATAACATATTAAAATCACAATATTAGAAAATATTTGACACATTATAAATAACTTTAACTTAAGATCATAAAAGAATTAAAAATACTTTTTAAAATTTATATCCAATCAAATTACAACACATAAATTAGAATAAAAGAAATATTGGACACAAAATTAGCCTTGTCGTGCGATTTATACTTTCACTAAATTAAATTGAAAGAACCAATACATCCCCGACGAAACACAATCTTTACTTTCTTTGTCGCTTTATTTACTTTGAGATTTTAAATTTAACCGAACTTCAAATGGAAATACAAAATTCTAAGTAGAAGATTAAAAAGAAAAATGTTTTACTTTTTCGATTTTGAGAAGTTTATACTTTCTTTGTCTCAATTTATTTGGTACCTTTTGAATTTTGAGATTCAAATTAGTATTCTTTTATCATAATTCTTTTAGATATCTTTTAAAAAATTTAAACTAGATAACATATCTGCGCTTCGCGCAGTAATCGATGATCTCATTAAGATTATGAATGATCATTTTCTAATATCCGAATATTAGAAATTTGATATTATCACATATTAAGAACTTGAAAGATTGTATAATAATATTCCTATGTTTCAATTTATATAACATACTTTTTTTTGCCTATTGCTAAAATAATGTCATATTTCTGTAATTAAAATTTAAAATTCCAATTTTATCCTTAATAAAATAATTGTAGAGGGACAAAATTTTAATACTATACATATACTAATGTTGGAATCTCATTCTAATTTCCACCCAACTCTTTAATCTTAAGAACTTCGATTTTAGGAATGAGTCAATGATTGATCTATGATCGTTGGTCTAACCTAACTCTTTAATCTTTAGAACTTCGATTTTAAGAATGAGTCAATGATTGATCTATGATAGCCAAAAAGGTCCATGGAATGATCTCGTAGTTAAAACAAGATGGAGATGATGGGATCGGTCCATGGATTATCTTTTTCTTTTGCCACAATTAGTTCAAAGGCCAATTTCATATTTCTTTTTAGAGGATGTGTGGGATTAGGTTTAACTTCACTTTCACAGGCTAGAGCGAAATACTTGTAGAGAGTAAAGAACGATTTTACTTGCCTTTCATTTTTCCATTCAATAAGATTATTATATGGACATTGAATTCAATCAAATGAATATTAATAAGTAATATTTTCAGTATTAAACATTGATAACAAATAGGAAAGTATGATCAAATTTCTGTTCTAAATAAGTAAATTCTTAGTACATCCATGGGAGGAACTTCTTGATATATTTCCTGCAAATTTCAGTACATTTAGGTTATCTGCAAAATTGAACGAAATCTTGTTGAAGATCAAGAAAGATATGTTTCGAAGGAGATGCATTTACAGTTTTCCTATAAGAAACGAGCAGTTGACTTCGATCACCTTGACCAACTAAGGTTCAGTTGTTATCCAGAGATTCAACCCCACATCCCATCTTGGCATGTGGATTCATTACCTGAATACCATAGGCACTACTAGTCGTGAATAAGCATGACAAAATGTAGTGCAACCAGGCGTAGAACTAGCATGATCCTGTCGGGATTATAAGCACCTCACTGACAATGAGACCAATTTTACCTGTATGCTGCTGATCAACTCATCGGATTCTGAAGAAGCGTTTAAGATACAGTTTGACTAAGTCTCAAGATGTCCATCAGCAATCGACTGACAGAAGCCTTTATTTCATCTGGTATTACTAACTGGGGAGGAACTGATTCCAGCGCATACAGAATAATAACCCTCATTACACCAGCCAAGTGTAAATTTGTCATATCGCCTTTCCGGAGATTCTGATTCACAAACTTGCATGATGCTTTTAAGGCACATTTGCTGCATACCTGAAGTAAAAGCACGTAAAGTTTCAGGTCATAAGGGGAATATAGGAGAAAGGTGGGAAGAAATTCGAGAATATACCAAAAAAGGAAATTTTACATAATCTTATTTGATCTTAGGAGCAGGGAAGAGAAATGATGAAGTTTCTTAAGAGCAAAAGTGACTCACATTATCTTCTTGAATTCTGAAATATGTACGCAACCTCTTAGCAGATAAAACGTTCTTCTTAGCAATAGAAGGGCAACCAAAAAGGGCGACTTTTTTCAAGTCACTGCCAGACAACCATCTGAACAACCAAGTTTAATAGATTAAGGAACTGAATGAAGAAAGCTAAGGTGTATAAAGCAGTGTCTAAACTAAACAAAGAAAAACATCCCGAACACAATACAAGCGAAATGTGGGAATTCGTCAAGATAAACCATTCCAAATGAAAGACAGCATCAGTCCATACCTTTCAAGTTCAGAAAAGAGCCAAAAATACATGTAACCTATTTGGTTCACAAATACCCTCCGTTAACCTTTAGGTCTAAAAGTACCCATAACGTTTTTTTGGGGGGCTCAAACAAACCTCTGAAACTAATGGATTTGGGTCTTAAAAAAACATAAAAGGGCCAAAATACCCCTAACGTATTGAAAATGGCTAACAAATACCATTTGTTAACATTTTGGTCTAAAAGTACCCTTAACGTTTTCTTTTGGGCTCAAACATTGCCCTAAAACTAACGGACCAGTCTGGGTCAAATTTGGGTCTTTAAAATAGTCACGTATCATTTTAAAGCTTGCCACATTTTCAATATAGGATTAAATTAAAGCCCACCATTTATTAAAACCCAACCCGTTTTCATTTTACAAATTAATCACCCAAAACAATCTTTTCTCCCCAAAGTATCTATCATTTCCTAGAAGCTTAGATGTGATAGGCGATTTAGGGCTAAACTTTTGTACTTCAAACTGGAGATTGGATGTTGAAGGATTCTTCTTGAAGAATCAATTTCATTCTTCTTGAAGTCTTGTTATTAAGGTAATTCTTTTTACTGCTTTATATGAAACTTTTTCTATTTTAATTTGATGCACTTGAGCGGAGGGTGTTTCACAAAAAACCTCTCCACCTCCACAAGGTAGGGATAACGTTTCCATACACTCTACCCTTCCCAGACCCACTAGTAGGATTCCCCAAAGCATCCGTTATTTCGTCGAAACTTAGAGGTGATAGGCGATTTAGGGCTTAACTTTTGTACTGCAAACCGGAGATTGTGGGTCATAACTTCATTAGATGTTGAAGGATTCTTCTTCATAAATCATTTTTAAAGTCTTGTTATTAGGGTAAAAAAATTTAATGCTTTATATGAAACTTTTTCTATTTTGAAATAATGCACTTGAGCCGAGGGTTTTTCGGAAACATCTCTACCTCCACAAGGCAGGGATAAGGTTTGCGTACTCTCTACCCTCCTAGATCCACTTGTAGGATTACACTAGGTATGATGTTGTTTTTTGTATGAAACTTGTTATGGTTTGGGATTTCTATATTCTTGGCCATCAATAAAAAAAAATTACTCCAATCATGTTGAAGCAATGCTTTCTATTGAAGCTAATTTTTTTACTCCATCTGTGTTGAAGATTTTAATGGCTTTGTTTACTACTCTTTCTGTCCCAATTTATGTGACGCCCTTTCCTTTTAAGTTTGTCCCAAGAAGAATGTCACATTTCTATAGTTAGAGAAATAACTTAACTTTAATATTTCACCTTTACCCTTAGTAAAATGATCTGAGGTTTATTTTAGACGACACATTTTAAAGTCCTCCCTTTTTTCTTAATTTTGTGCCAAGTCAAATGGTGCCTACATAAATTGGGACGCAAGGAGTAATTCTTTTTCGTATGTGTAACTTTAATATTTCACCTTTACCCTTAGTAAAATGATCTAAGGTTTATTTTAGACGACACATTTTAAAGTCCTCCCTTTTTTCTTAATTTTGGGCCAAGTCAAATGGTGCCTACATAAATTGGGACGCAAGGAGTAATTCTTTTTCGTATGTGGTCCTTGATTTGTCAGAGATTTATGGTTATTGAATTGGTGGATGGGGGTTATTTATTTATATGTGGTCCTTTTCTTTGTTGTATATCGTTAGATTCCAATAAATAAAATTATTTATGTACCTATGTGATGTGGAGTTAACGATAGGTTTCAGGTTTGGAGACAAATTCTAGAGACTAAAGGGTTGAGGTTGAGCAAGACCAAGACTGAATACTTAGAGTGTAAGTTCAGTGAAGCTACACATGAGGTCCGCGTAAAAGTGAGGCTTGATGCTCAGGTCATCTCCAAGAGAGGATGTTCCTAGTATCTAGGGTCATTAATTCAAGGTAATAGGAAGATCGACAAGGATGTCACACATCATATTGATGCGGGATGAGCAAAATGGAGGCTTGCTTTCGGAGTC